AAAGGGGTGGACCTTTCTCTGGCTATGGGGGTTTTTGTTAGCTTTCCATTGCTGTGGCAAAGTACTTGAGAAAATCAACTTAAGAGGAAGAACAGTTTCTTCTGGCTCATTGTTTGTTCGTGGTTGGCTGGCTCCAAAACAGAAATAACATGGTAGAAGGGCAAATGGAGGAAAGCTGATCACCTTAGGCCAGAGAGGAATCCAGGAAGCTGAGAGAGCCAGAGAGGAAAGAGTTGGGGACAAATACAGCTCCCAAGGTCAGGCCTCCACATCCTAAGTTTCTGTCACTTCTCAGTAATGCCATAAAATTAGATCTCATCAGTGGCTCAATCTCCAATTACTTTCCAAAAAGCCTTACTTCTGAAGACAGAGGCTGGCCCTCCGATATGTATAAAATTCTCAGACTTTTGGGGAACAGTTTAGATCCAAACCTTAACAGTGTTCTCGGTGACACAACAACACAACTTCTAGGCCAGGGGAAAAGAGTTTGCTTCCCAATCTTTCAAGAAAAAGCTCCTTCAAGGGGTAGATTGCTCTACTTTCAAAGTAGATTGCTCTATTCATCCCTGAACCAGTCACTGTGGCTGGGAGAATGGAATATTCTGGAATGTTCTCGTCTAGACAACAGGTGCATTCAGAGATGAAGGCATCATGAAATGTGCCACATGGATTGAATGCTGAGAAAGTGCAATTCCCTCCAACATAAAATCATGTCCTGTTGTCATGAGAAGGGACAGCTGATGTGCAGTGACAAAAATCTGTACAGAAGTCCATTACATTTGTGGTGAGGAAGAGGTGACAAAGGGCACCAGAAACTGTGGCCAGGGTCCTGAGTATCTTGTTGGACCTAGGAAGCTGAGTAAGACATCCACAAGCAGCCTTTCAAAAGCATGACTGAATTCAAGAGGCAAATCGGGCAGATTCAGGGTGAGTTCCAGCCTCCAATACTCACTGGGTTTCTGAAGAAGGGCCATGATGGGAAGCCAGAAATGCATCTACATTTGACAGCAGCCAACCACAAGAGTGGCATATTGGGGTGGTGTGGTCAAAGGGACTGGCCGACTCTTTGGTGAAAAAATTGGACAACACCCTTTAAAAAAAAAAACCCCAAAGATCTAATTTATAGTCATTCGAACCAAGTACCTTTGTGGTTTGGATGAATTTTTTTTTTCAGTTTTAAGCCTCAAGCCAGATGTATGTGATGTCAGGAAGGCTTTCCAAAGGTTGAGGTTCTGTGAGATGACCACAGAGGGTGGGGAAGAGTGTGTTGGAAAGTAGAGGAGGGAGATCAAAAGCAGGAGGAGGTCTCTGACATCCTCACAAGATTTATAGTTTGGTTTAGGATTTGAAGATTATTTGTGATCTCAAATAGATCCTCAGACTGCAGTATTCTTGGGCTCATACTTTGGTAACATTGCTATCATTCCATGCTGATTGTACCTGAGATACTTTCTCTCTTGAGTCTGTATTTCTGAAATGTATCTTATTCACCCAGTCACCCAGCCTCACACGGAGGATCTGCTGAGGAAAGAGCAGACATTTCATTTAGGGTATGAACACTGCCATCACCACCCCCGTCTCTCCCTAACTGGTCATTCCGCTGCCAACTCACGTGGGTGCTTTGAGAACATTCAGACTCACCACCTTCAATACCAAACTTGATACCACTCCCCTCCAAACCCTCTTCTCTCCTAGATGTTCTCATCTTATGAAATGGCACCTCCACCCACCGTCTAGCTTGACTCAGGAGGCATCCTGGACATTGCATTCGACTTCCTCCTAGATCCCACCCATTGTCAGCCTGCTGATCCTTCCCTTAAGATGGATCTTGAATCCGCAACTCTCTTCTGCATCTTTGCTGAATCCCAGCTACCATCTTTGGTCTCCAGCACTAGCTCAACCCATTCTCTAGTTGGCAGTCAGAAAATTGTGCTATTATGCCTCTTCCCTTATTAGCTCCTCCATGGTTCTCTATGGTATTCAGGATGACAGACGGGCACCTTGCCTTGGCCTTCCAAGTCCTGCACAATTTGGCTCCTCCCCACCTTCGAATCTTATCTCATCTCCCTCCCCCTCAGTCCCCGTGCTCTGGCCACACCAGCCTTCACTGGGATCCTTACAAGCACTAATTCTTTTTTCCAGCTGAGGGCTTTGCATGTGCTGGGCTCTCTGCCCGTACCACCCCTTGCCAGGCCTCTGTTCCCCCCTTGACCCCCTTTCACTTGCCTGGCTCCATCTCCCCGAAAAGCTCTCAGGAAAGTCCTCAGTCAGACTGTCAGCCGCTCCCACTCCTCTCTTCCTTCATGGTACAACCATTGTTTGCAGTTGCATACTTAGTTGTGCACTCTTTTACTTACTGTCTGTATCCGGTGAAGGCGAGGACCCTGTCTTTGCCATTGCTTTAGGATTGATGCCCAGTGACTCATGGACTTTCTGTTGATTCTGATCTGTGACTGTGGTTGAATGGGCGGTGTGTAGATGGACACTATTCTGAGCTGCTGGCTCATACAGTGACATAGGGGAATCCAGTTTGAGACCCCAGAGAAGGCCACTCTGCCTGCCTGTTTCGTCCCCTGCAGGAATGTGGGTTCATATCTGCAGGCTCAGCTTGAGTAAGTAATCTGAACGAGTTTCACATTTTCAAAAATACCTGCTATTTCCTGGAAACAGACTGTGTCTCTCTGATTGTCTATTAAGTTTTTTTTTTTTTTAAGCTGCTGAAGATCTTGGAACCAAACCAAAGTAATCTGCATTTCCATTTTTATATCTTAATTTATAAACTGTGCCTCATAATTTACAAGCATTCACTTACTTAGTGTCTATAACAGAGCCGAAACAAATACCAGCTCTGCCAGCTCTGCCACTCCAGCCTCCTCTCTGCACTGTGCTTAGGCTCAGGCTGGAACTGGCCCGAGCTTGGTAAGGATGGAAGAGAAGGCCTCTGTATCCCCATGTAATAAGGTGGAAAAAAGCAGCTAGTGATGAAGTGACATGAGCAAGGTTTGTGGCAGCACAGGCTCCAGAATTCCCCATGCCAAGGGTCTTTCCAGGACACCAGGCCAGGTGCTAGTGACATTCTGAGCCGGATCGTTCTTTGTTGTGTGCTCCAGGATATTTGGCAGCATCCATGGCCTCTACTCATTAGCTGCCAATAGTACTCTCCCCACCCTGACAACCACAAACATCTCCAGACACGGCCAAGTGCTCCCTGCATCACCCTTATGGACAGCCAGGGTCCATAAATGTCCAGCAGTATCCAGACTGCGCCTCCACCTTGATATAAATGGAGGAACCTGGGTCTGGAAAAGTCCCATTTACAGGTAAGGAGATGGAGGCTCAGAGAGGTCAAAGTTGCTCACAATTACACAGCAGTAAGTGGCAGGCTGGGATGGAAACCCAGACCTGCTTGTTCTGGGGTCTGTTACCCTCCCCAGGCTCAGCAGCCAGTTCTGGAGAGTCCTGTGTGACCTAGGGTGAGAGGAAAACATCTCTGAGGACAATGTTACCATCTATAAAATGGGCAGTGGTGGGCAGCGGGACAGGAATAAACGATGCTGCTGCAAACTCCTTCCCATCCATGCCAGACCTTCAATGACCATCTAGCTCCCACCACGAAGTTGCCTCAACAAGCTCACTTCTAATTCCTGAGCCTCTTTTGGTCAGTCTCACCTCCTTGGAGCTAGGCGGTGGCTCCCTGAGGATCAGGCCCCTTGCTCTGTCCCCTCCCACAGTGGCCGACATGGTCTTTTCCTCAGGATTGATGCTAAAAATATTGCTGCAGAACCCACGGCATTGATGAGCCCTCCGATCTTAAGATTTTGCAGGGCCCGGGCCATCTGGCTCTATCTGAGTATAGGGATGGTTTTCTTAGGTGTGCAGCCTGCTGGTCGAGCCCGTGACTCCACCTCTGGGCAGCTGGAACCGTTAGCTGTTGTTCCACTTTGTCGTTTTCCTTGTGGTAAAGTTCAGGCTCAGTGCGGCAAACTCAAGTAGAAAAGGGGCTCAGTAAGGGCTGGTTGTCAGGCCCCTCCAGGGCTCCAGTCCTTGCCCTGCCCACCCTTTTATTTCCTCCTAGTCCCGGTGCCAGTTACCGAGGCTTCCTGGGCTCCATTTCCTCACCAGTAAATTAAGTACAGGATCTAGGAAAAGATGAATTGTACAACGGCCACACGCAAGCTGTCCTCGATCTCTAGTAACAGTTTGTATCTCCCGTGGTTTAATTGGGGTGGATGGGGTGGCCAGGAATCTACCATGCTGAGTTAGGGAAAACTTTCAGGCTTTTTGGCAAGCGCGCGCAGGGCCAGCGTGGCAGGGTCGCGTTTCTACCCACTTCAGCCCGGAAGAGGGGCTGATTTCGGGAACCCGGGGGGCCACGGGGACGCGGGCAAAGCCAGACCCGCCAAGCCCGCTGAGCCCGTGGCAGCATTTACTTGCTTCTTCCCTTCACAATTAAAAAGGCTGCTCAGCAGTGTGGCCTCCGGGCACAGTGCCCTCCCCAGGGAGCGAGCGGTTCTCCCCGCCCTGACTTTTCTGCGGGCTCACTTTGGCCCCCGCTCTCGGAGCCCCGCGTCTTCCTCACTTCTCCGCAGCCCGCGCAGGGACTGCGGGCATCTGATCCCGCCGGCCGGGCCAGGCTCCCGGTGGGGGTGGGGTCTCCGCCCGGCCGGCCCCGCCCTCCCCCGAGGTCGCGCAACTTTTCCCGGCTCGCTGCCCTCCGGGGCCGGGGCGAGGACCCCTCCCGCGCGGGGCGGGCCGCGGGCGCGAGCGCTGATGTCAGGCCGGCGTGAGTGCGGTGGGGGGGCGCCGCGTGGGGGTGGCGGCCAGCATGCTGCTCGGCTGCGGCTCGGCCTCCCACACCCGCGGCGCCCGCGTCCTCGCCAGCAGCGGCGGCGGCGTCCGAGCAGCGAGCGGCGCCCGCATCTGCAGCGGCGCCGGGTCCGAGCGCGCGGCGCAGCGGCGGCAGGGGGGCGCGGGCCCCGGGCGGGGACGGGGGACCCGGCATGGCGCTGCGGAGAGGCGGCGGCGGGGCGCTGGGGCTGCTGCTTCTGCTGGGCGCCGCGTGCCTGGTCCCGCGGAGCGCGCAGGTGAGGCGGCTGGCGCGCTGCCCCGCCACTTGCAGCTGTACCAAGGAGTCCATCATCTGCGTGGGCTCCTCCTGGGTGCCCAGGATCGTGCCGGGCGACATCAGCTCCCTGTGAGTGGGACCCCACCCTGCGCCCGCCGCCTGGGAGTTGCCTCTAGCTCTGGGGTAGCGCCCCGACCACATCCCGGTCCCTCGCTTCGCGTTGGGGTGGGGGCGAGCGACGGGACGTGGGTGGAGCCTGGCCCCCGGGAAGGATAGAGGGACCCGGGTCCCTGTGGCAGTGTTTCTCAAAGTGTGGCCCATGGGCCACCTGCATCAGACCCACCCTGGGCATTGGTGCCAATACAGAATCGGGGCCCACCGTGAGGCAAGGGCTCTGGACCCCGAAGGTCTGCACTTGGTGTCGTTGGGTGACTCCGGGGTGCGTTAAAGTTTGAGAGGCTCCGTGTGTATGTGGGGTGGGTGATTGTGTGCGGGCATGTGCGGGAGCAGCTGAACAGGACCGGGCTGATTGCAACCGCAAACGGTGAGGCCTCGCTGCCCTGTCTGTGAGGCGAGGTTGGCACCGTGGCGGCCTCCCGACCTCTCCACATTGCAGGCTGGTAAAAGCCTGGGCTGAGGAGTGCAGCCTCTGGAAGTGGAGGGGTAGCCCCACGTGGCCGGGGGGGTGCAGTGGGCTTGGCAGAGATTTGAGGCATGTTGGGTGCCCAGCTCAGGGCTTGCGGAAGTCAGCCTGACTTCTTGCTCTGAGTTCAAGAAGGCTTCTTGTCTCCTTCCTCAACCTGGGATGATGTTGGCCGCTGTTTCGGCCCTGGAGTAACTGATTGGAAAAGGCTTTGCCTCATTTGTCCCCTTGCTGAGGGATGCTTTCAACTTGGCCTCCCGAGGCCTCGGACTAAATGGCTAGTGGCAAAGTGTCTGTGGAAGGGGCTGTTGGGCCACCACTTTACTGTCTGGACATAAGCTGTGCCAGCCTGACTCCCTTGTTCCCAGCAGAGGCACTGGGCTGCCCACTGTGTGGTAGCGGAGGGAGTCCCGTGGGTGAAGTTGCTTGTGCCTTCTCACATAGGACAAGTCCCTGTTCCCTGTCTCCCATCCCAGGCGAGGCAGGGGCCTGGACCCAGGAGAGGGGGCTCCTGTTTGCCTTTATAGGAAGTCAAGAGAGTCTGGATGGCGGGGCAGGTGGAGGGGGACAGAGGGCCTGTTTGCCTCTTGCTATTGCCAACTCACATGGGGTAGGTTTCCAGAAATGAGAATTCCCCTTGATGTTTACCTCCATTAGACCAGAAGCTGCTTAATTGATCAACCTGTTAAGGGAAACAATGTATCCAGGCCCTGCTGGGGCCAGAAAGAGTAGGGAGCCCTGGGGCAGAAACACAGCCAAGCCTCTGGCCCTCAGTTAACCGCTTTTATCTGGCAGATGGCATTGCTTCCCACTGCTCAGCCAAGCTGAGGTGTCTCTGAGTTTCTCCCCAAGGCTTTCGCGGTGCATTTAATCAGAAGGGCTCAGAGTGTCTTCAGAGATGTGCTCCCAAGGGGAATGCTTAATACAACCCCAGAGTTTCGTGGGCCAACATTAACTCTGTGTCTGCACAAACAGACTCTTGGGCAGGGGTGAAGTCATTATCCATTTTCAGCCGGGGGGCCTCTTGTAGTTAGATGAAGGCCGGAGGGGATTGATTTAAGCTGCCTGAGCTCCTGTCTGAAAGGAACCGGACGATTGGTGCAGGTCTGTAGTGTCCAGACCCCTTTTCCTATAGATCCAGTGCATGGAACTTGACTCATCTCTTGTCATTCCTCCCGGGAAGGACAGGGCCAGCTGTGCACACCCCCACCCCCAAGAGGAAGAGCTTGGAGGGCAGGATGGGGGAGGCCTTTACCTAGCGGCCTGGTACTTCCTGAAAGAGATGTAGGCGACGTAGGCCTTGTTTCGTCCTTCTCTTGCCTGTAGGAGCCTCGTAAATGGAACGTTTTCAGAAATCAAGGACCGAATGTTTTCCCATCTGCCTTCCCTGCAGCTGCTGTGAGTATGGACAGTCCCTCTGCAAGCTGGGAGTCCTTGAAGGGTGGTCGCTGCTGCCTCTTTGGTATCAGCCTTCCTAAAGGGAGCTTCCGCCAGCTCCCTGAGTAGACAGCGGCTGCTCTCAGTGCTAACCTTCCCAGCGGTGTCCTCAGCAAAGCACCAAGACCCCCTCACTCCAGGTCCTCATCTGATGTTGGACAGTGGTTTCTCTGAGGGCTTGATTGTAGATTCCCAACTCCCAGATGCAGTAACTGGGGTGGTATTTGCATGGTTCGTGACCAGAACTTCATCTCAATGAACTGTTCCCCAAACCTCTCACTTTAAAAGAAACTCACATTTTAAAATCTTAGCTTACTCTGCAAATAAGAGCATTTCTGATTTACTAAGTCAGGCAACGCACTCTGCACTTAGGTGCATGATTTTATGTCATCGGTGTATTATCCCTTTGAGGGGGATATTTTTATTTTCCTGTTTGACAGATGAGGAAACTGAGGCTCAGAGGAGTTAATTAACTGTCCTCAAATCACAGGACCAGGATTTGAACCCTGGTCCAAAACCCACATTCACAGCTCTTTTCAGTGAGCCGTGCCCAAGTCACCATTGTGGATACCCACATATCCTGTAACCTGGGTCAGTTGATAGCAGATAAATCCAAAAAGCACTTTACAAAAGCAAATCTGTGACAGGCAAAGTCGTGAGTATGGAGCTCATTCTCTTTACCTGTTGGTTTCTTAATTTGGAATTGAGATTGTAATTAAACAGTGAGCTGCAGAAGAATAGAGGGGAAACAAAGATCACTACTCGTCTAAATAAACTTCCTGTTCATGCTTTTGTTCTTGAAGTATTATATACCTACTTTTTTTTTCCAGTACTGGGGATCAAACTCAGGACTTTTTCCTTGCCAGGCAGGGCGGCATCACTGAGCTACATCCCCGGCTCCACTTTGAACATTATACTTAACATTAACACTCCTACTTTTAGCATTATACTTACCATTTTAAAATCTGAAATCTCTTAGAATTGCAATGATGTTACAATGTTTTCTATATAATGGTAGGAATAGAAACATAATTTTAGATAGTCTTTTCTTAAATAAAGTGGTTACTATGTAGATAACATAGACTTTTACCAAAAGGACTTAAGTAGACTCAAGTAGAAAATTTCTAGTGATAGACTCTTCTGAAGATTTCTTAAACTTTTACAGATTACTTCTCATGGGAATGCATATGTGGAAGGGAATAATTTTTTTGTTATTATTCCAAATGTATGACTTTGGTCAAATCACTTAACTTCTCTGGGGTCAGTTTCTCTAAAAATGGAGTTGGATTAGATCCTTTTGTGTCTCTAGTCCCATGATTATGTATGTTTCAGAAGGCCTGTGTTGGCTGTTTAGTTGTGCCTAGCAACAGAATGTTTTCAAATAACAGTTATCAGTTCATACTGACTGAGACCCCAGGGGATGACGGGTTAGGGTGTTGGAGGTGACCAGAAAAAAATCCCGTAAAAGGAACCCACTCACCACAGTCTCCATCTGCAGCCTGTGAGAGTCAGGCTGGGGCCTAAGGTGTGGTTCTTAGGCTGAGTCCATTTGCCCACAGATCAGAACCTTGCAAAAGAATCAGAAATGGCTCCCTGTAGTTCAAGTGCTATACCTGTACATTGCACTCTGTCTTATTTTCAGATTGCTGAATTCTAACTCATTCACGGTGATCCGGGATGATGCGTTTGCTGGACTTTTTCACCTTGAATACCTGTAAGTGTCAAGGTTTGTGTGCTGAGCACTTGGCATCTCAGTGGACTTGCTGGATGCCACCCTGCCTGGGACAGCATCTCTGGAGCCCTTGGGGTGGAGAAAACCCTTCTCTCTTTTCAGCCCTGACCTTTGATCGTGCACTTGCTTATAAACATGCGGAGCAGGAGGAGGCTGGAGATGAAGGGAGGAAAGGAGACAAGGAAAAATACTCATTCATTCTCTGCTGACATTTAATTTGTCATGTAGTAAGCACAATTGGAAAAAGCGTTGGATATTTTTACATCTCATAACTAGGCATGAGTTTGCTGATCAGCCAGAAATAGAGCCAAAGGGTTCTAAGGGCTACTTATTTTTAAACAAAGTTTCCCTCTTTGGGGCACAACTGCATGCTTTCATCAGCTGTCCCACATCCCTCTCCTGTAAGCCCTGCTGAGGGTTTAATTGTATTTTCCTTTCTCCTTAACTCTCCCATAAAAAGACACGAAGAAAAGGATTTCTCCTTCTTCAGATGTGCAAATTTTTTCCCAAGAATGAGCTTTGTCCTCATTCTGATTTCTGCTTTGTCTCACTTTCATGTCCTTTTTCCCCCTTAAGTTCTTGCATCGTTGTATTTGTGAATTTGTAATAATGTCAACCCTTCTATCAGATGGGATTTCCTTACTTACTGGCCCGCCAGATCTTTAAAGCCCTTCCTCTGCTTTCTTATCTGAGGTCAACAGGTAGATATTGGGATTCTAGACGTGTACTGGTTTAGGAAAGCTGTCTGCTGATTTTGGGGTTGTGGGGAGCGATGCCGCAGGACTTTCCTCCAGAGTAGACATCATGTGTGTGTTCTCCACATCCACTGCTCTGACAGTAGGCATAAGATGGGGACAGTGGCAAAACCCAGCCAGGCTCTCTCAAAACACAGGAAGAGTGATGGAGGTAGCAGAGGTGAGCCTCTGAGTCTTCTCTGATTGGCAGTTCATCTTCCTGCTTAGGTTTGTGGGGAGAAAGTTAGTCAGTTCATGCTGAAGTCTAGTACTAAAGAGATACCAGATCTTGTAAACAGGCATCAGAAAGCTCTCAGTGCAGGAACCAAGAACCGGATGGATCATTCATAGTGTGGCAGAGGTGCCAAAGCCCCTGCCTTGGACAGTCTCACCCAAGGACCCCTGGCGTCTGATGCAGCTCCATGCTGCCAATGAAAACTGAGCTCTCCTTGGCCCTGGAGCAGCCACAGTGCATTCACGTCATAGCTTTCCCACAAAGAGTTTAAAGCATGCCAGTGTTATTGTTGCAAGATTCCATGTGCAAGCCCTGTGCCATTTTAGTCCAGAGAGAGTCAGCCCTTGTCACCTTTATTATACGCCCCACTTCCTGGCGGCACAGAGGTAGTGAGAGAATCCCTGCCTTGTCCCGAATTTGCTCTGAGATGAGACTGTGTAGGGAATGAGGAGCTCAAGGTTGCTGGAGGCCAAGCTTAATGGGACTCTACCTCAGAAATATTCAACAATGGGCCGGGGATTAGCTCAGTGGTCCCGATGCCTGCCTTACAAGCGCAAAGACCCGAGTTCGATCCCCAGTACCAAAAAAACAAACAAAAAGAAATCTTCAACAATGGCCTTCCTTGGAGGGACCACGACATTAACAAAAGTATGAATAGCCAGGCACTGGGAAATGTATCGGAGCTGAGTAGGGAGAGTGTCTGGATACTTTCCAGTCTGGCAGAGCTGTGAGAAGTTCTGACCTTTGTACAGCGTGTGCCTCCCACTGTGGCCCCAAGGTGTTTTACCCGCGCTGCTACCCTAAATATGAAGACTTTGTGCTGCCTCTGTGGAGCACCGGGATGTGCTCACGTGCACACGATTTTGCACACACACTGCCTGCGTGGAATTTGTTGTAGCCAACATCATCTTCAGAGATTTCATAATTCCTGAATGCTTTTAGATTTTACTCCAAAAGGATACCAAATCATTTCTTAGAGATGTTAAGTGGAAACTCGCTTGATTTATACTACTCTTTTCCTTAGGTTCATCGAAGGGAACAAAATAGAAACCATTTCAAGAAATGCCTTCCGTGGTCTCCGTGACCTGACTCACCTGTAAGTCTTTAAACACCATCAAAAGACCCTTGAGGTGTGGAGGGAGATTTGCCCCTGGTGCATCACCCGCCTTGAGATTTCTGCACCATTGTGTTCCCCGAAGGAAGCTCCTTTCCAGGTTGCCCAAGGGGTTTCTGTGATGCCAGACAGACCCTGCTCAGTGTGAAGAGCACACGCTGGTATTCGAAGTAAGGAGCCCTCTGAGCTTCAAGGGCCTCATGGTGGCAGAGATGGGAAGGCAACTGGCACACGCCTTGTGCCTACTTGGTGCCAGGCTCGAGGCTGGGTGCTTGAGTGAACCTTCTCTTCTGTGATCATCTGTGAGTCCCTGTTTTACAGATTTGAGAACTGAGGCCTAAACGGCCCATTGAGGAATGTCAAATGTAGGATCCGAACTAGCACAAAGTGGAATAGAGACATTTTCATGTTTCTTCTCATTTGAATGTGAATCATTTTTTCTTTCATGTTGGATTAATCTGTGCCTTCTGCTAAGCTCTCTGGTTCCTTAATAGCTTTCTGGAGACAAAAATATTAAACAAATTGATTTGAATTGGCATATCAGAATGAAGCAAGTACACACGTTTAGTGAATATATAAAATTGGAAAAAATAGTGGCTGTTTTTATGAAAAACACAAACAGTCATTGTCTGGGTGGGAATGATTTGTTAGCCAGGAACTAGGTTCCATTTGCGTGATAGATTTTGTGTTTCCAAGTAAGATGACATGTCTCGTCTCCGCAGCCCGCCTGCCTACCGTAAATGAGAATTGGGAACACACAGGGGCTTTGCATGTGGGTGTTGGGGAGGGGTGGTGGTGCCTCGGGTGCAATCTTGACTCATTTGGTGTGGACACGGTCGCCTAGCCCCATACCAGCAAAGGCGCGTGAGTAGGCCCAGCCAGCCCCAGGATAGCCACCAAGTGTGGCCCAAGCTGGAGCCCACCCAGTGAGGCGATGAGGCAGACGTCAGCATCAGCGCAGTCCAGACCGGAAGCTGTCCGATTGCTGTTGGCACTGTGGCTCCAGGGTTTCCTGTCTTCTGATAAAAGCCTTGAATATTTTTCAGATTTGGCCTCCATGCCAGGTCCCCTGTGTTCCTAAGAGACTAAAATTGATGGGCTGTGGAGTCCTATAGACCTGCATTCAAATCTCAAGGCCATCATTTATTGATAGTACTTTGTGGGTCCCCTGTTTCCTCATGCTTAAAATGAGAGAAAGTTATTACTGATTTCTTAAGGTTGCTGTACATAATGGGTTAATAATGCTCACTTGCAAAGCATCTAGCCCATTTCCTGTGGTAAGTGCTCAAGGTATGGTTGGCATTGTGGTCATGGTCATCAGGAACATCATTCTCTCTGTCTCTCATTAAGAAGTCTTGATTTTCTCCATGGACTGCTGAGTGGCCTTGGCAGTTTGATTGGCCAGACAGGATCTACTAAGAGGCCAGTTGTGGGTGTCTGGAGAGGAACAGCTGAGGCTAGAAGTTGAGCAGTCTCTGGGCAGATTAGGAACATCAGGCAAAGGCCATGTGCCTGACTGGGATAGCCCGGATAGCGAGTTTATTTGCCCCGTCAGGAGGAGGGTGTGAGTGTGTAGGTATTAGGCATAGATATTTGCGTATCTTTGTGTGCATGTGTCCACAGGTACATGGACTATGTACATGAGTGCATGAGTGTGTTTATGTGTGTGTGTTTGTACATTTGTTATTTCATGGGTTATCATGTGCGCATATGGACAAGAGGCACTTCCTTCTGCGTGTGACACCCAGACAGCACAAATACAGAGCAAACAAAGGGAATCTCCCGCTGGGGTCCAGAATGCATTGGAGGAGCAGGCTCCTCGCAGCAAGTGTTACTCCCGAAGGCCAACATCACATCCTTTGCTTGCCCAAGATACTGTTTCTTCTGTCCTCAGTCTTCTGGAGTCTGCCTTTCTTTCATCAGATTAGATCTGTCTCCTCCATGAAGCCATTCCCGATCTCTTTTGCCTCCCTTCTGTTGGCTGGGACAGTAGTGGCTGTTGTTTCTTCTCTGTGCTGCTTTCTCTCCCCAGCAGTGTGGACAGCTCCCTGAAGGCAGGGTCCCTACAGATGGTCCATTAGGTCTGCTCTCCTCTCCCTGGCAGGGTGCTAAGCCAGCTGGCACACTTTCGGATTTGCTGGTCCACTAACAAGTTTCTTACTGAGTTGGACTTCTTCAGGTCCCTTACAAGTCTGATGACTTTTAAAGTTGGTTCCTCTAGGTTGGAGATATATTTAGTAAAGCATTTTTTATATTGTTCAAAGAATGAATTGATCTCCCTCCATTCTTTTTTGTTAAACCTTTAATAAAGAGGAGACATCAGCCCATAAGTTCACTCCTGTGCTTAACAGAAGTCCCTCTCTGGAATTTGCTTATTTAATTTAAGTATCTGATCTTTATCTTTTTATGAACTTTGCAACATATACAGACTCACACTCATAGAGAGGTACAAAGCACTGGAGGAGGGAGCCCTGTCAATCTGTAACTAAAATCTAGGACATTGTTTTCCAGCAGTCCTATAACACCCAAGGGACAGGGAGCTGTTAAAGAGTTTTAGAAATGAAGTAAGTGCCATGATTTTGTAGGCAAAATGAAAGGGAGATATTAAGCACTTAGTGTGAGTGGCAAGGGTAATCCATCTCAATAATTTTGCTTTCTAAAGTTTAAATGGTGTACTTGAAATAATTGCTAAACATTGTACTTTCTTCTTTTGGCTTTAGCCATTCCATATATTCTTATCACTTCACTATAATAACTTCCAATTAGATAAAATTTCTAGCTAAATAATTAACCTTTAATTATCTTTTTGGATGTTGCTTTCCAGAAAAAGCTACCATCAGCCTGAAAAATATCAAACAAACACACCTTTTCATAAATCTCAAAAAGACTATGTTCAGTCTTATATTTTCAGCCTATTTTCCAACACATTAAAAATGTACAAATAAATCATTTAGAAAAGAAAGATAAAAATATTTGAAATGATATTTTAATCCATTTATGGTTACCTACATGGGAAGGACCATAATTCAGAAACTACAAGTCTCTCCATGTTCAGTTGGTGCCTTGAAGCAAGACTGTTGGGATTTAAAAATGAGCTCAAGCTTCCTACTCTGTCCAGCTGACTGACTCTAAGGAGAAGTGCACATTTCTGTAACCATTTTTCTGGGTTGTATTTTTAAGAGGTTGGTGCTGAATTGCCTACGTGTTTATCATTTTTATGTTTTGCCATTTGTACTCATATGAATAAAAGAAAACAGACTTAGGTTCCAGTTTCTGGGCTGACTCACATTAGTAGCACGTGGTGCCAAGGGAAATCACAGACTTGGTTTCCGCCGTTTCTACACCTAGCATCTTCCTTCAGCAGCCCTGCACCATGGACATTCATCCTCAGCAGGATGATGACAGGGAGCTGCAGAATCCTGAATCATCAGGAGCTGATGCTGTTCAAGCTGGTCTACTTCCTGGACATGCAGAGTGGACCACAGCATCCTGGGAAGATCTTCAACACTAAGTCCACACATGCAAAATGGTTTCTCATCAAACTTTGTTAATGAGAAAATGAAATTGTTCATTCCCTAAATATTATGGTTCATTGAGATGTTATATTATCCTTAAGGGTTAGAGCTGAGAGTCTTTGTATAAAAGTGTATTCACTGAATCCTTTTTAGAGTCATATGTGTTAGAATTCACTTAGATGGATCACTGGGGAGTTTCTTGGGACATGACTTTCATCACTCTCACTTTGGTTCTTAATTCATTTGTTCAACAGGATTTCTGGGAACAAAGCACTGTTCTAAGGACTGGGGATATAGCCAAGGACAGACAGACAAGAATCCCTGTCCTCATGTTGCTTATGCATGGGGAGGACACACAGCTAATACATAGATAACTAGAATATGTGTTGTGCCAAAAAGTGTCTTCCAATGGAGCTCAACAGAGCAGGGAAGAGAGATGGGCAGAGGTCAGGGAAGGTGGTGATGGGTGAGGACAAACCTAAAAGAAGTGATGGAGTAAGCCATGTGGCTATCTGGGGACATGTTCCAGGGGAGCAGACCGGTACAGAGGCCTAGAGGCCATTGAGGACCAGCAAAGAGGCCAGGGTAGCTGGACCTGAGTGGTGGAAGAGGTGGTCTCAGGAGAGCAGGAATGGAGCCATATAGACAGCAGAGCATCTTGCACACCATCAAAGGGAGTTTGCCTCTTATTCTAAGAAACCAAGGAAGCCAACTGAGGTTTGACAGATGTGTATAAGAAGCTTAATAAATGCTTGTTTTTAAAAACAAAGGCAAAAAAGCTGACATTGTTATCCTGCGTCTATAATGTCATCTTTGTATAATTGATCTCATGTCTTCCTTTCAGTATTGATGATCAGAGCCAGGAATTGAATCACGTTTTGATGAGGAGGTTGAAAGCACTGTTTAAGCCATTAGCTGTCTATAAAGGGACTTCAGAGTGACCCGGCATGAAGATAAGAGCCACATTAAAATGTGACTTTCTGTTTCCAGGTCTTTGGCCAATAACCACATTAAAGCACTACCAAGGGACGTCTTCAGTGATTTAGACTCTCTGATTGAGCTGTAAGTAATCAAATTAAGTCTGTGTGTACTTGTCACTGGGCCCCAGTTAATCATATCTGTCAATTCCTGCTGCTTCTTTCCTGCATTTCTTCTATGAGGTAGCTAAAAATCAATAACCAAGTAATGCATGCTGGGAAACGGCGTGCAGTGGGTGTTGTGTTGGATTTGCCATTTGATGATATACTTAGTACCATGAGGCCAGTGGTTCATCGGGATTGCTGGGAGGGAGGCACCATGCGCTAAAATAGTGTCAGCTTTATATTCTAGTGTACATCACTTCTCATTGGACATAGTTTAATAAGATCTTAAAAGTTTCACCCGTGTTTGGGAAGACTGTGCCTATAATGTCCAGTTTTTGTTTATGAGATCCTGTGTTTGGGAGTGTTCTTCTCTCATCCCTTCCCCATTTCCACCGTGGCATGGGGACAACTTCAAGAGGGCTTGGAGACATGGTGGTATATTGTCTCTGAGAGCTTCCTGTATGCTACAGCAGTTAAAACACAGGTACATTAAATACAGACAATAATAAGTACAAGAGCTAGGATGCATGAAAATACAGTTTTTAAAATTCCACTTTTAAAGAGTTTTAAACGTTTCAAGATGTTAATTTTGGTGTTTCAAGTCACTACCGAAACGTGTCAGGTCTGTCAGTTTCTCTGTACTCATATTTGTGTTTTGTTTTAGAGACTTAAGGGGTAATAAATTTGAATGTGACTGCAAAGCCAAGTGGTTGTATCTGTGGTTGAAGATGACAAATTCCACTGTTTCTGATGTACTGTGCATCAGCCCACCGGAATATCAGGAGAAGAAGCTTAATGATGTGACCAGCTTTGACTACGAATGTACTACTACAGGTATTCAAAGGCCATGTTATCAAAGATGGATGGGAGAATCTCTTTGTTTTTCTTGGAGATTGTCAGAAGGGTGTGGGGAAAAGTGAATGTAGAAGTTTTCTACCCCAAGATTATTTTTTTTTATAATTTTAAAAACTTTATTATCATTCACTAAACACACACAGATACAAAAATTAAAATTATTCAAAGAAAAGCAATGCAAGGGAAAAAAACTATAATAATATTCAAATATAATAGAACTCAACCAAAGCAAAACTGAAAAGTACTTAAACATTTTTCCATATAATTTAAAAAAAATCTCAAGCATTAACAAGACCTCAAAGGATGTGATTTGTTTTAGAAGGATTTTCAAAATTAATATTGAACAGATAGTGGTCTGGAAAAAAAAATTCTAATTAACTGTAGACTCCACATAGGCCAAATTTTTTAAATTTCAATTTCAATACAGTCATGTGACATGTGATGGAAATATAATCTGAGAAATATGTCATTAGGCAATTTCATCTGTGTGTATCACAAAGTTCCACACAGAGTGCCAACTTCTAAGTGCAAACTGAGAAGGTATACGTCAATCATCTGTGATGGCCCCTTGATATTATCCAAATACGCAGTTAAACATGAGATACATGAGGCTACCACTGGCATAGCAGCACACTGTTTTACAGTAAACTCTTTTATATAAGTAGGATTAGGCTCTAGAGGATGAAAAGCACAGCATGTTATGATAAGTACGTAAAACAGTAACAGTCATTCATCACACTGTTGAGTACTGGGCACTGTAGATAGTTGTATGTGCTTTTCTCGAAACACACCCTCCTCTCCTTTGATCTCAGTGACTCTTCCTTCCCAACCCACTGATGAGCTCCAGCCTAATCTCTATCTACATCTCTTCCTATAGTTTTAAACACGATCTATATATGGATTCTTTCCAGATTCCAGCCTGTAACTCTGATATTTCCCCTTCCACTCCTGCCACTCCCACCCCTTTAAGCCTTTTCTTCGTATTTTAAATTATCAATTATTCATTTCAATCCTTTTAATCCTTATTTACACTTTCAGTTTCTCACACTAGAGAAACTATTCGGTATTTACACATGTGTGTCCTATTTATTTCACTTAAGAGGATGGCCTCAATATGCATCCATTTAGCTATAAATGTCTCTAGTTTCTCATTCTTTATGGCCGAGTAGTACTCCATTTTATAAAAAAACCACATCTTCTTTATCCATTTTCCAGTTAATGGGCACTTGGGCTGTTTCCAAGCTTTAGCTATTACAAACTGTGCCACTATAAACATGGGTGCACATATATCGCTGTGGTATGATTCTTTTAATTCTTTGGGGAAGATACCCAGCAGGGGAATAGCTGGGTCAAATGGGACCTCTACCCCTAGTTCTTTGAGGTATCTCCATACTGACTTCCACAGTGGTTGCACCAGTCTGCACTCCCAACAGCAATGGAGAAGGGTTCCTTTCTCCCCACACCCCCACCAGCATTTGTTATTTCTTGATTTCTTGATAGCAGCCATTCTTTCTGGGGTGAGGTGGGATCTCAGCATTGTTTTCATCTGCATCTCTCGAATGACCAGTGATGTTGAACGTTTTTCCATATGTTCATTTACTGTTTTTACTTCTTTGTCTATAAAATGTCTGTTACCCCAAGATTATTTAACAGAAAGTTTAAGCATTCTAAAAGAAATGAATTGATGTGGTTAGCAAATTGTCTCAATAGTGTAGAAGGATTTTTTAGTTCACTGACTTTGATTTTGATTCTTTACAAAATTCAAATTTCTCTCTCTTTTTTTTTAAATACTGGGGATTGAACACAGGACCTTGTGCTTGCAAAGCAGGCAGCGGAACCACTGAGCTAAATCCCTGGCCCTCTAAAGTTTTTTTTTTAAGGCCAAAATATAAGCTTGTGAGTTTAACATGAGAACATCTTCAGACCCGTCTAGGTTGCATGGAAAGCCAGTACAGAGAGGCCTGAATTATTTTGTTGTTACTGTTTTCTTGATTTAATAAGATGATGTTTATTGGAAATTTTATACCAGACTTTAAAAATCAGTACATTGCTTTCATAGGTCTAAGTAAGAAGGGACAACAGTTAAGTTATAACCTATGGAAAAATAGAAAAATATAAGTTAGCAATCAGTTATCAAAAGAAAAAAAAACTGATGTTGATGGAAAAAATGTAAGGAAGTTTTATCTTGTTTTTCTAGCGTCTGCCTCAGGGTTTCAGTTTATACATTCTCCAGGTTATAGAATAGAATTAAAATTACCAATGCCTCAACTGTCACTGCACATAGAGGGCAGGTGAGTATCTCCATATGAAAGGCTCAGGCAAAGTTTCTCCAGCTTCTGAAGCCAGGTTTTAAAGGAGAGAGCAACAATCTGCAGCATGAAACCTGCTTTCTAGCTGTTCAAGAAAATAAACATTTAGGCTGAGAGTTGATATCTACACAGCCTCAAGGCATGTCAGGAGAAGCAGCCCGGACGGGAAATCAGAAAAGTTACAGAAACTCAATAGACATAAAAATTCCAAGAACAAAATATCATATTTAGGCCACCTGCTACCACCTTCCAAACAAATAAACAAAATCCCACAAACTAACAGTGGCTTCTAGATGTCTTTGTTTGCTGGTAAAGGACCTCACACATTCTGTTCTTTCATAGAAAACTTGCAGTCTCATGGAAGTACCCTTGTCTTTCATCATCGAATAGGGGCTTATTCGGCTGTGTAATTGGCAGGTAGCCTTCGCCCAGCTGAGGCCACTAAAAGGTTATTTATTGTACTGTAGGGACCAGCACAATAAATCAGAGGTCATAATCAGTGGCATTTGCACCAAAAGGTGGCATTTGAGACCATGTGGTGTTAAATGCTAAACCCGAGCTCTATGGGCGCCTCTCTGGCCTTTTCTCCAGTCTTTCTGGATAGTTCTCCACACCCCACAGTGAGGTTAGCAAGCTCCATTGTCCCGTTCAGATCTGGCCTAAGCATGTGCAAACATTGCCAGGTCCCAAGGGACTGAGAATTGTTATCAGAAAGGAGATGGTTTGGAACTGAGGTAGCAACTTCTGCAACCCAGAATCCCTGGGGCAGTGTGAGCCCCAGCACAGGCTTGGCTGCATGTGTATTGTCTTTGCTAGCAAGTTTCCTCCTCAAATACGGAAAGGCTTGTGGGTGGTGATACTGTCTTTGCAATTGCTTTGCGACTTCTGAACACATTAGCTCTTGCTCACAGTTCCTCCCGTCAGGAAAACATGGCGCAACAAAGCATGAGCAGCCCCCAGACTTGGTCTCTGCCATGTGAGAATGAGGTCAATGCACTGTGAGTGTTTTGGGCTCCTGTCTTCTGCTCAGATCAAGCCCTGGCCTGTACTGCGTTATCAGAGGCTGGGGAGGAAAGGAGTGAGGGTGAATGGAAGACAGAAAGCCAAGTCTAAGCGATAGTCATTTTATCATTCCTTGTGGTTTGAGAAGGAGCAGATTCTCTCAGGGGACTGTTTTCCTCTTAGCCCAGCTTTTCAGGAAAGGAGTAAATGTCTTCAGGTAGCTCTCTCCTTGTTTTGCCCAAAGACTTACCACCTTTTCCTTGGCATAGGGAATAATTAATGCCGCGTGGCCACCACCAGGCTGCTTCTGCTCTTCAGATTAATCACAGTTTCTCCACCCTCCCCAGTCTATTTTTAACCACTCAAAAATCCCTGTTACCTACCGATGATCCCTGTGTTAGGTGGATAATTCACTAAATTCCTTAGAGGGAGTGAGTTTTGCATCCTAATTGTCCTGTTAGCTTCCCTATTTTGAGGCTGATGAAAATGCGAAGAGAAATAATGCATTAATGTGCACTTTCTCTCCCCATAGGATCGGCATCATGTATAATTTATTTTCTGCCAGTGCTATAAATAGCTATGTAAAAATCTGTTGATTCTAGTGGGAGACAGGCCTAAATTGTGAGACCCACTGACATCATGAACTTGATTCAGTGTGCGCGGAAGTGGCAGCTCTTTTGGCAGGGAATGCCATTAATATTTTAACACTAGTGAATTGATGGCATATCAGTATGTGTATTCTTTGGGCTCTTTCCACAATGAATATGCTTTTGCAGTTTGGGAATGGCAAAGTAAGATGGGGGAGAGAAAAGATGTTTAAATTCCTCTGATCCCTTCCTTGTTCAGGAACAAATGCAAATGCGTCAGCGTCTTCTGGCCTTTTTCTTGTTTTCCTTCTCTTCCTCTTCCTTCTTCTCTTCCTTCTATGGTGAGGCAGGGAACTATTAAGAATTTGATTTGTGGGGCCGGGGGTTTAGCCCGGGATTTACCCCCGGCCCTGCAAGCACAAGAACCCGAGTTCGATCCCCAGTACCGAAAAAAAAAAGTTTGATTTGTCATTCAAGTGATTTAACCATCTGTGTTATGTCAGACAGTATATAGAAAATATTATGAAACCATTGGTTTGGAAAAACAAAATAGGGCCACTAAAAGATAGATTTGGAAAATGCTGTCTATTCTGGCATCTCTTTTTCATCTTGGGGTTGTTCTTCAATAGGAACGGAAACTTTTGGGTGTGCACTTTAAACAGCCTGCATGTTAAAGCAAATGCTCTCGTTTCTGAGACCTCGGAGTGCAGTTGGGAGACTAATGGGAGCAAGGGGACGCATGAGTTTCGGCAGTCGAGGGGCTGCTCAGAACGTTTGGCAGACTTGGATGAGACAAGTACAACTGGAGACAGAGAGGAAGACTGCATAGCCGTCCCGGGTGTAATTGAAAGAGTGCGGCTGTGTTCTCCGAGCCCTCTGTTACGGCCAGGAAAGGAGTGCCTGCGCTCGGTTGCCTCCTGCTCCTTCAGCTGCTCACGCCCAGGCAGTCAGCAGTACTGAATTTGCTGGGGCCAGTGGCCCTCCCCTGGCAGTCTGCAGAGTGGGCCTTGGGTGAGCAGACCACCCCACTCGCTAGGCCAGAAAGCGTTTGTTATTAAGCGCCCACTGTGCGGCTAGAATGGGGCAGGGGCACCTCTTCAAGTTAAGGTGGATGGAGCTAGCATTTGTACCCAGAAGAAGCTAATGCACAGAGAGGTTAAGTCACTTGTCCAAGGTCATTCAGCAGGAAAGTGGCTGCTCAGCTCCAGCAACTTGCCTTAGGTGCCATTAAAGCGGACAGCGTTCCAGAAGATGGGTTAGGGCAGAAGAGGGGTTCCTTTTCTGGACCTCAATTCTGTATTTATTTCTATGCCTAAACCTGAGGCAGGCACTTCCATCCCCGCCCCCACTGGTCCAGCCATCCAGCTCAGGAGCTAGTCTCCTTGTCTCTAGTCTGCATATGTAAACTGAGACGGGGAAGTGGCCAGCCTGGGGTCTCAGGTGGGATGTGCCCAGCTGCCATCTGCCTTCAGGCATGGTGCTCTTTCTCTGGCTTCATGCAGCCCTCACTCTCTTAACCTTAACCTCCTTCTCCCACCCTCCCCTCCCCTCCCTTCCCATTGCGCCCCTGCCCGATGGCGTCACCTCCTTTTCTGCCTCCATTCCTGCTGTGCTCTCCCTCCTTTACTCACTACTCAGCCATGCCCAGGGGTGACATCTTTGATCAGGCTTCCCAATCAGCAGTTGCTTCTTGAAGGATTGCATAGCACCTGTGGGAGGCTGGAGGAAGTCTAGGATCCAGACCTGCCGGCAGGGAGCCCTTGGTTCAGGAAGTACAACCTGCAGGCTGTGTGGCCATGGCCAGGCACTGAGCCTCTGAGCACTGAAGAGTAGCTCAAGGCTCTAAGATCCCCCCTCTACCTCCGAACTGGACTCTGATGTTATTGTTTAATGACAATAATCTAGTAAGATTTAAGTACAGTGCATAGTGAGCCCAGTGAGTCTCATGGGTGAGGCTGGTCAGGGCAGGTCTTGCAGAGGACATGGGACTCGGGTGGGGATGGACCAGACCTGGCTGAGAAAGGGCTGGACAGAGCAAGGATTCCTCCTAGGAAGGACTTAACCAGGTATCCACTGTGACCCACGTTTAGCCTCATTGTGTCACCAAGGAGCAATGCACATTGAAGCATGTCTGGCTGGAAAAATAACCTTCATTTCTTAGCTGTTATTAGTGTGGTTTTTGTAGAAGATTCCTCCTTCTCTAGATTTCTCTAGTTACCCCACACACCAGCTATCCTTTCTTCTAGGGTCATGCTTGTTCGGGCTTTGGCAGTCAATCGTGTCCCTACCGAGATCCAACTCAGGATCTGTAGCTCAGCAAGCACAGTCAGAAGTGTGGGCTTCCGAGCATGTGAAAGAGGAAACCGTGGGGCGTGATGCTTGGAAACCCAGCACATCTCCTCATCTGCTCACTGAACTGCATGCCCTGTCGTACCTGAGGCTCCTTCTTACCACTGAGCCATCTAGTAGCCTGCAGTAAGCACACAGGTTCACCGCCCTGGGACCTCTGAGACCCAAGTCTGACTTGGTTTCCAAAGGCCAGTGTGCCCTTTGGTGAGTGCAATGTTCGTTCTGAGCCTGTGGGAGCACTGTTTCCCATCGCGCGCGCGTGCGTGCGTGCGTGCGTGCGTGCGTGTGTGTGTGTGTGTAGCAGTGGCACAATCACAGCTGGTAGAGCTGGTATCAGGTAAGTCTGAGAAGGATCCTCACATCAAGCAAAGCTAAGCAGCCTGCGTTCCTGTAGGGGCTGTTCAGAGAGGGCTAGAAGAGCAGTTTCCCAAACTCACCAGTCCACATGGCCCTGCCTCGAAGAGTGAGTAGCTTGACAGCTTTGAGAATATCTCTGTGGCCTCTGTCCTGTCTTGGATTTTGGAAAGCCAGGTCTCACCAAATTTGTTTAAAATGTTGATCTTTTTGCCAAACATGTGGAGCTGCTTACCCACAGGAAGCTGTTTCAGAAGGTGTGCTTTGAGCCAGGTAGCCTTGTGCAGGCCAGAACCCCCCAGGGACCTCCAGGGTGTGCTGGGCCAGGATGCATATGAGTGTTGCTCCGAGCCTGCCTTCCTCCTCTCTGGTATCCATCATGGAAAGGACAGAAGGGGGATGGGACCAGATGATCCACACAAGGGATTTCATGACTGTTTTTTGTTCCTAACCACCCACTCCCAGATTTCGTGGTTCACCAGACCTTGCCCTACCAGTCAGTGTCTGTGGACACATTCAACTCCAAGAATGACGTGTACGTGGCCATTGCACAGCCCAGCATGGAGAACTGCATGGTCCTGGAGTGGGACCACATCGAAATGAATTTCCGGAGCTATGACAACATCACAGGTGTGTTGTGCTGTCATCAGATGTGCTGACATGATTTTAGCATCGCCTCAAGAAAAGCACTGTCCGCTGTCCTATGGAGGGAGAGCTGGGTGCTCTGAGATGGCCTGAAGTGACCGTGTTCCATCCACCCTCATGGTCACTGCAGTGTGTCCTGGGCACAGCCAGTTATCAGTGACAGCCGTGTGTGTGCAGGAGGTGACCCTATTTATTGTTGGGGAGCCCTTTGACAGTGAAAGGGACGGGGCTCCAGTGGGAGGTGGGAGGAAGCATCTTCTGGAAGCGTGAGAGGTCACCCTGAGAAGCTCATGGTCCTGCGCAGTTCTGGCGGCCTGTCTGCCTCAGCTTCTTGGCAGTGAAATCACGCCTTTGCCTTTTGTTAAGCTGATTATTAACAACTGTGCTAAGACAAGCTGAGTGAGGTGGTGCTGTAATCACAGCATTTGGGGTGGCCAAGGCAGGAATATTCCAAGCTCCAGCTCAGCCTGAGCAATTTAGACTGTGTTTCAAAGTAAAACAATTTTAAAAGGCTGGGGATACAGCTCAGGGGAAGGTTCCTGAGTTCAGCCCCAAGAAAACAAAAGCCAAAAACTAACACACCACACACACACACACACACACACACACACACCACACTACACGCCCTGTAGCTTATTCTTGTTACATCTTGGTGATTACTGTTGTCTTTAATAAGTACATATAAAATAAGAATAAACAGACCCCTAAATTCAGGCCTCTGGGACTTCATTTAATGATTCTTTTAGTGCTGTTGTGGGATCCCAATGTCTTAGTGATACTAAGAGCAGACTGCTTGCTTGCTTTTTAAGTAAGTAGAGAAAATTAAAATCAAAATAATCTTTTAAAGATTTCTCAGTTGTCAAAGTGGAGTCTCATACGGATGACAACTTTATAAACAGTGCTGTGTGAGCCGGATTCCCCCGGTGAGAGAGTTCCCCTTGAGGATGCTGTCCGTAAGGTGTCTGGGGAGAAGCCCTAGGCCTCTCTCAGGCATGAGGTGGCTCTGCAGCAGGAGCAGGGACTCAGGAGACCAGAGAGCATCATCCACCTGGAAGGGAGGAGCTGCTAATAAGCCTGGTCTCCCGGCCTGGAGAGCGCTGGACTTGCGCTGAAGCTCAGAAGCTGGAGCTTGGAAGATGCCATTTCGGACAAGCCGGTGCTGGTGCTGGTTCTGGTGCTGTGCCCATCTGGTCTCCAAGTGCTAAGCCCACCTTGCTGAGAGTGGCCGCTCAGAAGTGCAGACCAAGACCCTAGGATGGTGATGGCGAACCTACAGCACATGTCGCAGCTGGCTGCTTGTTATCACTGACAGCTCTGAAAGGTTCGCCATCACTGCTCTAGGACCTCAGACCCAGTCCTGGTAAAGGAGGGAGGGTGGTGAAGGAGGGACTCTCCACATCCTAATGAATTTTTGCTTCCTCTTTTCTGTCCTTGGGAGATGGTGAAGGGAAACGTGGGCTCGCCTGTCCCTTTTCCCTCCCTAAGGTGAGGGCAAGGGTGGCCTGCAGCTCTGCTCCAGGGGAAGGAGTTTTAGCGCCATGTTGTCTTCCCTTCCCTTTTCCCCTCCATTCTTTCCTTCCTTCCCTCCCTCCTTCTTTTCCTTCTTTCCTTCCTTCTTCATTCCCTCCCTCCCATTCCCCCCTTCCTCCTTTCCTTCTTTCTTTTCTTCTTATTTGTGGTACTGGGGATCAAACCCAGAGACACTCTAACAGTGAGCCCTTTTTAGTTTTTCTTCCGAGGCAGGGTCTTCCTAAGTTGCCCAGACCCGCCTTGAATTTGTGATCCTCCTGCCTCAGTGTCCTGAATAGCAAGCGTGAGTGCGCACTGGGCCAGGTTGGTGCCGGCTGCAGGCTTTCTCTCATTGGCAACTCATGTCGGCCCCAGAGCCGTGACTGGGGGTTGCCTGCCCACACGTAGAAGACACAGCCTCTTCTGCAGAGCCAGGCAGCTCACAGGCCCTAAAGAGCACACACAGTGGCCCTCTGCTGCATGCCGGGAAGCGTGGGCCTGGCTTCCTGTCTGTGATGCAGGAGTGCATGTGCCTCCCAGGAGGTGGGAGGCCTCTGAGCGCAAAGCACAGCCTCACAGGGGGTGAGTCATTGTTCCTTCAGGGACAGAGCCTGGAATCTGTCACTGTGCTGTACGGCTCCCCCCTGTCCCAGGAAGGGAAGACCGCACTCTCCATCTGCCCTCACCATGAACTGTAGCCAGTGGCCCCCAGTTCACTCATCCATCCATTCTTTCATTCATTCATTCACAAAGGTTTCTTGGGCACTTAGTCTGAGCCAGGAGTATTGTGGGTGCTGGGTACATAGCAGTGAACAAGTTGAAGACAAACCTCTGCCTTCAAGGAGGCAGTTAAAGAAAGACACAACTGTGACGTGTCAAAAGTACAAGAGGGCCACATGCTAAGGAGGAAATGTGGGGAGTGCTGGACACGGAGGATGGAAACTTGGGGGAAGGCAACTCTGGCCTCATTTACGGCATCAGTTGAATGAGCCTGGGAGGCTGGAGGGACAGGGTTGGTCTCCGTGGAATGCAGGGGGCTTCGAGTTCCAGGCTGAGGTGAGAGGCAAGAGGCGCCTCTCCTGTGTGAGGAGCACTCAGGTGACAGGATCGGGTGAGCAGAGTGACCCGGGGACAGGTGCAGTGAGAGTCATAGCAGTCAGAGGCTGATCAAGGCGCCTTGGGGTCCTGGGAGGCCTTGGCCGACTGCCCTGAGTGCCCTGTGAAGCCACAGGCAAGCGCCGGGACGAGGTGGGGGGTCAGAGAGGCGGTGGCACGGCGTGGTCAGTGCCCATGGAGTGGGCGTGGCCACTGCTGGTGGAGTGGGTATGGCCGGCCCGTGTGATTTGGGGGCAGACGTGGCCAGTATGGTTGTGGTGGGCGTGGTCAGTGACAGGAGTGGCCATGGCCAAGACTGGAGTTGTAGCTGGGCCTTGCTACATTCTAAGGATGCTTCAGCCCTTCAGTCTTGAAGTGTAAATCTTCTGAGCTGGGAGCGCTCATTGGAGTATGGGGATGGCCGAGACCTCCAGAGGGAGGCTGGGGAAGAGGGCGTTACAGGTGTGGGTGGAGGAGGGAGTGTGGCTGTCTTGGTGCCTGCAGTTCATCCTGGCATCAAAGAGCGCCTGCAGCGCAGGGATAAACCAGGGCACAGCCTCGGAGCCACTTGCCTTGAACCGGAAAGAGAATTGGAGGATTCTCTGCTCCCTGTGCCGTGCATTCCTCGTATGTCACCTTATTTGGCCATAGGGTTTTCCCAGAGTTGCAAGGCAGGGCAGGGTTTTCTCAGTCAAAAGATGGACTCCGAGGAATCAGAGGGGCACCTGCCTCCCCTTTAGGGGCCCTGGTAACCACGGTGCAAAAGGGGTGGCTCCAGCTGTCTGTCTGTCTTCACCAGGGAGAGAAAAACCCACGGTCATGTTCATGCCAAAGCTGTCTCTTCCTTCTTGTTCTCTCCGCATCTCTTCTCAGCTTACCTACTTTTAGTTTTGTTTGCCTTGTGATTTCTGCATGTTGTATGTATTCCAATGCATGTGCGTGTGCGTGCGCGCACACACACAAACACACACACTCACACTGTGATCTTTGCTGCTGCTGCTGACTCCATAGGCTAAAAATGCTTACCTGGACAGAGGTATTAGAAAGCATCTTCAAGAAAGGAATTGTTTCTGTCCCATGAGGCCCTAGGCTCTGACAGGCTGCCCTCTAGAACCCTTCTGGGTAGCAGGGTCTCCTCAGTAGCTAGGCTGCTCAGGAGGAGACAGGAGCATGAGCTCTTGGTTGGTGGAAGGGTGGAAATTCTGGCAGCTTTTCAAGAGCAGTTTGGCAGTTTATGTCCAAAAGCCTTAAAAATATGCACACTTGCCCAGCAGTTCTTACATTTACCACAACAGCCAGATGGTTTCAAAACATGCTCTTTAACAACATGTTAAAGGAAACATGTTATTTAACAATAATGAACAACTAGAAATAACTGCCATGTCCAATGATAGGGGATTAGTTAAATGAAATATGATGCATCCATGCAGTGGAATACTGTGTAATGGAATAAAAGAATCTGGTTGTAGAAGATTCCATAACCTAGGAAAAGTATTTACAACAAAATAGTCTAGTGAAAAAAAAGAAGTTTCTAAAAAGCTTGGGTATAGTCTACACCCATTTAAAAAAAGAAGAGGTGGGCTGGAGATGTAGCTTCGTGCCACATGACTAGGTTTAATCCACAGTACTGCTAAAAACAAACACCCCCCCAAACCCCAAAAGAAACAAAAACTCCCACAAAAGCTTATTTAATTTTGTGTATAAAGATTAAACAAATACATCATGACAGTGTTATTTTGGGGCTGGGGATTTGGCTCAGTGGCACTGTGCCTGCCTTGCAAGTGCAAGGTCCTGAGTTCAATCCCCAGTACCAAAAAAAAAAAAAAGAAAGAAAAAGATAGATGTTATTTTATGTTTGCAGTACAGATGACTTTTAAAATTTTCTTTTTGTGCTTTTTGATACTTTGGTGGTGAAGTATAGACTGGAACCAGACCACCTGGATTTGAATCGCACAAATATTAGCTGTGTGGCTTTGTCTAAGTTGCCGAACTTCTCAGTGCTCAGTGTCATTGTTTGTAAAACGGAAATGATGGTAAGAATCGTGGCTTCCTCTGATGCTGGTTATAAAGATTATCTGAGTGGGTACATGTAAAAGTTCTTAGAGTAGTACTTGTTCCTCAATACCCAGTTTATAAGTTTTAGCTATTATTATTTTCAGATTTTGCTTTGGTGAACGTTTAGCACTTTCATACTCAGGAAACCAATATGATAGTTTGTTTTAAACAAAGGAAAGGGGTTAGATGCTTATAAGAAGCCCAAAGTAGAAAGAAAAAAGGAAATACCACTCTGAAAGCCATCCACTCTCTGCTCCCAGAGTTAATCTTCAAGGCAGATATTGGGTAATTGTCTTTGTAATTTACAGACCAGACTCAATTTGGTCCAAATTAGAAAACTAAGAGGAAGAAATAACTTTTAACAGAGTGGTCTAGATGGATCCTTGGTCGTCTTTGAGACCTGCTGTTGGCCTGGAATGGGATGAGGTGCTCGTTCAGGGGTGTGGGGGGACAGGATGCCAGGGAAGAGCCAGAGGAGAGTCACCACTGAACCTGGGCCCCTTTTCCTGCAGGGTTCCGTTTGCCCCCTGAGCTAGATCACTCGGAGCATTGCTAGTCTGTAGGTGCTTCTCTTATCTCCGAATGACAGCCACTTTGTTAACACCCTGCCCTTTTATCCTCTCTCACTGCCCAGGAGAAGCAGCCTGTTTAATTCTGTCCTTGTGTCACACAGAATCAGGAAGTACTTCTTCTTTTTAAGGATATAAATTTTTAATATGTATATTTATCAACAAATAAAAATTGTATATATTCTTCATCTGTGAGGTGTTTTGAAATATGTGTACATTGTGGGAGAGCTAAATTGAGCTAATTAACATATACTTGTTGGCTCACATGGAGAGAGTCCTTTCCAAGTCCGGCAGTGTCCCGAGTTGCACACTTGACCCTAAAGACTTCGGAGCCCCTGGCAATCTCTGCCCATGTTTACAGCGATACATTTTTTTAAAGATTTTTGAAAAACAATTTAAATTGCAGTAAAATCCACATAACCTAAATGTACCATCTTGACTGTTTTTGGTGTGTTAGGTACAGCCGTATTGTACAGCCAATGTCCAGAACTCTTCACTCTTTACCCATTCAACAGCAACTCCTCATTCTCCCTCCACCAGCCTCTGGCAACCAACCTTTCAATTTCTGGCTCTGTGCCTCTGACTGTTTCATATAAGTGGAATCATACAGTATTTGTCCTTTTGTGACAGCATGTTTCATTTAGCACATTGTCTGCAGGTTCATCCATGTGGTAGATGTGTCAGAATTTTGTTCCTTTTCAAGGCTAGATAATATTCCTTTGTGTGTATTGACCACATTTTCTTTATCCATTGTCACATCCATGGATACTTGGGTTGCTTCCACTTGTGGAAGGTATTGTGAATAATGATGCTATGAATGTGAGTGTCTTAAGTCTGTTATGGGACTGCTATGACTTAACACCATGGACTGGATGGCTTAAAAACAACAGAAATTTATTTCACACAGTTCTGGAGGCTAAAAGTCAAAGATCAAGATACCAGAAGATTTGGTGTCTGTTGTGAGGCCCCAGTTTTTGTTTTGTTTTTTTGGTACCGGGGATTGAACTCAGGTCCATGTGCTTTCGAGGCAGGTGGGAGAACCACTGAGCTAAATCCCTGGCCCTGTGAAGCCCCAGTTTGCCCATGTGAGCGTAGAAGGAACTCTCTGGAATCTCTTATAAGGACACTAATCCCATTCATGGGGGCTCCACCCTTGGGACCTAGTCACCTCCCAGAGCTCCGCTTCCTAAACACAATTACCTTGGAGATTAGGTTCAAGGGAAGAACTTTGGGGGGACAAAACCATTTGGCCTATAGGATCTTGAGTCCCTGCTTTCAGTTCCTTGGGAGTGGAATTGCTGGGTCACATGGCCACTCTGTGTAATTTTTCAAGGAGCTACCACACTGTTTTCCATCAGACAGTCCCAGTTTCACTGTGGAGGGGCCTCTCCATGGCAGCCACACTAAATCCTCTCTTTCTCTTGGAGCGCAGGCCAGTCCATCGTGGGCTGCAAAGCCATCCTCATTGACGACCAGGTCTTTGTGGTGGTGGCTCAGCTCTTTGGAGGCTCTCACATTTACAAATATGATGAGAGCTGGACCAAGTTTGTCAAATTCCAAGACATCGAAGTGTCTCGCATCTCCAAGCCCAATGACATCGAGCTATTTCAGATCGACGACGAGATGTTCTTCATCATCGCAGACAGCTCTAAGGCTGGGCTGTCAACGGTCTATAAATGGAACAGCAAAGGCTTCTACTCGTACCAGTCCCTGCATGAGTGGTTCCGCGACACAGACGCAGAGTTCGTCGACATCGATGGGAAATCACATCTCATCTTGTCCAGCCGCTCCCAGGTGCCCATCATCCTCCAGTGGAATAAGAGCTCCAAGAAGTTCGTCCCCCATGGCGACATCCCCAACATGGAGGACGTGCTGGCTGTGAAGAGCTTCAGGATGCAGAACACCCTGTACCTTTCGCTCACCCGCTTCATCGGGGACTCTCGGGTCATGAGGTGGAACAGTAAGCAGTTCGTGGAGGTGCAGGCGCTGCCATCCCGGGGCGCCATGACCTTGCAGCCCTTTTCTTTTAAAGATAATCACTACCTGGCCCTGGGGAGTGATTACACGTTCTCGCAGATATACCAGTGGGATAAAGAGAAGCAGCTGTTCAAGAAGTTCAAGGAGATCTACGTGCAGGCACCGCGTTCGTTCACAGCTGTCTCCACCGACAGGAGAGATTTCTTTTTTGCATCCAGTTTCAAAGGGAAAACAAAGATTTTTGAACACATCATTGTTGACTTAAGTTTGTAAAGGTGTCATGGGTGAATTTTAAAAGATCATGTAGCGTTAGCTCTCATGAGAGAGGACCAAGAAGAAATAAAATAATAAAATAACATAAGCCAGGCTCAGAGCTCTGAAGTTCAACTGTAAAATGGACTGGGGAAATAGTTAGAAGTTTTCAAACTTTTAGGATTCACATTTTAATCAGGGATTGCATTTATTGGCTAACTGCATGACATGCCCATTCTGTCATTTCAAAAGGCACCTGGTGCCTTTGATTTCCAAGAGAAGAGTGCAGCATTTACTCTTACCATCTAGAAAGTAATGTGCTTTTTCTTTTTAACGAGGAAGGAGAAAAATGGATAAGATGGGGTAGCTCTTCTAATGAGATAATAATGATAATAATAAATAAATAAACCAAACCAAACCTATGGACACTTGTCATTCCATTTTAGCAACCTTTTGGGCAAGAACTGTTAAAGCCAAAGTCAGCTGAAAATATTTGCTGATGAGTAGTTCAGAAATCCCAGAGCACTCAGCAGCGCTATTCTGAGCCATCCTGGTTTCCTGAAAGTCACACCCAGCCTTCCAGAATATTCTGTAATTCCAGAATCTTTCTTCTTTGGTTGGCTCGTGTGGATGGATGCTCATCATGGGTGTGTTAACAGCTCAATGTTTGACATTGCTTCCTCTTCCACAGAGAAAACACTGGCAACACACGTCTAGGGCAGCAGGGGTTCTGGGCTCAGCAGTGAGACAAAAGAAAGTTCCCCTCACCCATGCGCTTCAAAGCTGGCCCTCATGCTGGCCAGAGTGACAGCGCCTATTTGATGTGGTCTGTGACTTACCTGCTTCCCCGAACCTATCCTTTGAGTTTGTGGGTAACCAGCAGACCAGCCAAAGACTGAACGGTGCTTTCTATTCTGTCCTTCAGAGGGGTGGAACGGGTATTTCCATCTGATGTGCGTTTGCTAGGTGCTTTTGAAGTGAGATTTCTCAGAGTCAAAGGGGACTTTACTTACACAGATCGCAATGTGTGCTTTGAAACCCAGAGGTGGCCCTTTGATTTATGCATGTCTTTGCCCTCTGGACAACTTAATATTTCAAGTAATTGAATAGCACTAACCTTAAGCCTGCCCACCTGCCTACCTCTCCTCTCCTGGAACAGTTCTGATTCATTGAGTTGCTGGTGTTGCTGCAGCTAGCATTGAAGGTGCTATAGATGCCAAATCCCAAACCAGGCTTCCCACGATGGGGGCACACCTTCCTCTCCCTGTATTCTAGCGCCAGGCCCCCCTTCCACCCCAGGGCCATGTATCAGTGCAAGGCACCCTGTGCAGGCCAGGGCTTTCAGGCTGATTGCTGGATCCAAAGGAGCTGAATCCCAAGACCATGTCTGTGCTCAGGGAGCCTAATTCAAAATGAAGCTCTGGGGTTGACAATAGGGAAGCTCTTTGGCTCTGGTTTTGCAGAAGGTTCCTAGTGGATGTTCTGCCTGGGTAGCTGGTTCTTTTCAGAGAACACGAGGCAAATGTTTTAGGGGTAGCTTTTTAAGGAATAACCCCACACATTTCTTCTTGCCACGAAAGTGGGACCATTAAACTGTACTGTATGTTTTGATGATTATTGACCACATCATAAGTAGGTAGCTGTTTTTCCATGAGTGTGAATGTGTTTGTTGTTTCCTGACTTTAAGCAATGCAGAGAGAGCAATAAATGGCACTCCAAGAACGATGTGTTGGTGTCCTGTCACCCCTCTGGGGTACATTCTGGCACTGCAGTCTGAGGCTTCCAGCACAGGAGAACGGGAGTATACTGAGCTCACTCACCCACACTCGGTTGTGTGGTTGCTTACAACTCTTCTACAAAATACCAAGCAAAACAGAGTTTGTTTTCATTTTTTTAATGCACAAACCACTCTTTCTTTCGCTTTCTTGGTTTATTTGAATTGGTGGCAAATGCCCACGTCTTCACACTGGAGACTAAAAGCAGGACATCCCTGCCATCCCTCCAGCTGTAGAGCAGGAACTCTATTTGTCCCGGTGCATGGGACCCTCAGCCAGGGTGGACGGCCAAACAGACATTGGCAAACTGTAAAGGGGACATCGGGACAGTCCTAGCTCTTGCACCAGGTTGAAATGATTTTCCCAATTCTAACTACTTATAGAATAGGCACCTGGCGTGTCTTTTCACACTTCTCTGTCCATGAAGCAATGCACCAGCTTCTCAGTGGTACCTGAGGGGTGAAGTTAGGAACTGGCCATCCACACTCATCATGCTGTAACCGTTGCTTAGAATGTGGAGAACCTGGAAGAACAGGGTTCTGGCCTTGCGGGGGATTTATAGAGTCCAGAGGTGGCATTTGGGGGTGAAAGAAAGACCACGTTGGCAGTGGGGGTAGCACATGAGAGGAGTAATGCACTCAACAGCAATCAGATTTTCTTCCTTTCTTTGAAGAAGTTTATGCAAGACTAGAGTCTGCAGTTTGTAGAGTCGGGGAAGAGATGTTTGTTCTATCCAACTTAGCAAAAGAGCATAGATGTTCCTGGCACAAAGTGGCGGGAGCTTTGCTTCATTAATCTTACTGTTCCATCCCAAGGCTCCCTGAAGTTTTAAGCAGTTTCTGCAAGACGCTCTCTCCTAGTAATAATGTAAAATGAAACCCCAACTGAACAATGACAAAAAAAGCAGAGAAGCATGTGGGCCAATCCCCTGTGGAGATCTGTGCCGGGAGGGCTGCCCTCGCTTCTCCCTTCCTGTCACCCACTGCTGGACACCTGTTCAGCCTGGCCTTTATAATCTCCTGAGATTAGGCTCCTAGACTCAGCGCCCCCCACAGCCATGAGCTCGAAGCCCACTGTCTGAAAGCAAGGACTTGTCCCAGACTCCGTAGGGCCAGGAGCACATCTCTCTGACAACTCCAGAAAACACTCAGAGGTGAAAAGCACTGAGTTCCCACGCGGGGACAAGATCACCTCGCATTTCTGCAAAGCTCTCTGTTTTTTCATGTCCCTTTGTGTCCATCTCATTTGTCATAAATAGTTCTTCAATTATTGCAGGGAGAGTGTTGTTCTAATCTCAAGGAGAAGGAAAGCCACAGAATCCAAATGGATCACCTGCCTATGGTTATCTAGATGGGTGTGGCAGAGTTAGAGCTTCTCTGAACAGCAGGCACTGTGTTTTCTTTCTGTGACACTTTGCTGTCCCCTCCCAGAGACTTTCATTGACATCATACTCCTGAGCACAGCAGCACCTTGAGATAAAATAAAACATGCAACAAAATATGCATAGCCAGCAGAAAAACCAGCCAAGTAGACACCATTCCATCAGTTGGTCCGTGTAATGATGCACAAACCTTCTAGAACTGCTGTGACCTGCAAGGCCCCACTCATGAAACCCTTCCAGAAATTTCAGATAATTTTCTATTGTCCTAAAGAGGGTTTCTAGCTGGCACCGTCCATCCTCCTCTCACACAGATATGGAGTATGTGGATGGATGCTGAGGTCTGGATGTATCTGCTGCTTGTCACAGTGTCCACCAGATAAACAAGATGAGTTTTGTGAGAGAGAAATTAAAACCCAAATGCACTAGCAATGATGAATTGATCCGAGCCCGCGTCAGCCTGTAGGGAGCATGTGGAACAGGACAATGTTGCATTTTTCTTCCCCATGGAGTGAGAAGCTGGGTATTTTTAGCAAGGAAATCAATGTGAGATGCTGGAGGTTTGGCTGCCAGGAACAGGCATGAGGGAAAGTTCTTTGGCCGGCGTTTAATGAAGGAGAGAAGAAGATCGGAAGGTACACACCACTTTGTGGGCCACTTACAGAAAATCTCTTTAGCAGGCTGCGCGAGTCTTTCGCAGCTGCGCTAGCCCCTCATTTGCAGCTTTGGGAAGAAAGTCCCTCAACTAGACAGTGGTCATGGATTCTGTTCAACAGCGCACAGGAATAGAGTGCAGCGATCTGGTTGTAATGAGAAAGGTGGTCTGGGTTCAAGGTGCCACGGAAAGGAAAAAGGCAGAAATGCAGGGCGGATGGCTGGGGAGGAAGCTGTTTCAGGAAAGTAGAGATTAACCTGGAAGAAGAGAAAAAGTGGTCATGATTGTCTTTGCTGCAGCCAAGCAAGGAGAAGGTAGAATGACCAGGCAAATTAACAGCGTCCCAGTGATTACTGGAAATAACCCATTGTAATGCTTATTCAAATAAGAATTATGCTTCAAGGCTGCTGAGCTCTGAACTTAGGCCCTCTTCTTACTGTATTCCATTGCTTGTATCAGAAGCCACCTTTTTCTAGTAGAAAACTATGCATTCCCTATCCATCCCTTTGACCATCAGGAACGTAAAAGAACTGTGATAAAATATGCCCTTTGGTACTGTTTTTATGTATTTTAAATGCATAACTTAGGTAAAATAAGAATAGTTTGTATGTATATTAAAATAAGTTTTGCAGTATGCAGACAACATGGATGATGCATTTGAAGGCTGTATATATATGTATATTTAGCTCTTTTTGGTAAATAGAGTTAACATGATATGCCTCTTAATTCCATACGTTCTGTAAGCCTGTGAATAAAAGGTAATTCATGCTTCATGTAGCATTGATCTCTGGTCTGCTTGAATACAGGTATGTCCACTTGGGTCATAGAAGTGGAGAGACACCCATGATGGGCTATGGGGGGTGGCAATATCTTTGTGGTTCACTTCTGTTCGAATGGGAGAGGGGTACCATAGGGGCCTTTGGCTCCTTCACTTAGAAACTAAAAAGTCATGGAAAATCTTTGAATATTCCTCCCCCTGATCTGGGGCTGACGGGTTGGCAAAGAACTCTGGGGATATTTGGGTGCCTTCTGATTCTATAAACATAGTGATAAGAGGAGAGATTGCTAGACCTCATTGATGGGGTTGATCCTTGTCCTCCTCAAGGGCAGGACTTCTGATCTATGTCTGGGATCTAACTTGGCACTTAGTAAGTATGCAGGAAAGTTTTGCTGCATATATCTTAATCTGAGAGCCATTGGGTGTGGTTGGGAGAAGAAAGCATCAAGACCTGGAATCACGTATGATGGTGTACCTGCTGTGTGGTAGGGGCTCTGCTGTGCTGTGGGGCTTTTGAAAACGTGTAACAGCAGAGTGGCCCTCGTGTGACTTCTGATCCAGTCAAGAAAGCCATAATTGCATGAATTGCATAATTGCATAATTGTGGGCAACAATATGAGGTCCAGAGGCAATTCTGCGTTGTAAAGCACTGTGTGACTAATTGAGCAAAAACTGGGGTGATGACCAAGAATTTAGTGCCTTGTCGGCCTGGGATGGAATTGGTTTTTTGTGGTAATGTAATAAAGCACCACAGGTGTAGTGGCTTAAAACAACCCTGCTCATCAGCTCACAGTTCTGAGGGCTAAAGTCAGGGACGGACCAGGTGGGGTCT